GAAGTTGTTTAAAGTCAAGATGATTCCTTTTCATTGGACTGCAATTTATTTTTGCAGCATCTTCTCTAAAGTCCACTTTTTAGTGGCATTTCTCCTCGAAGTCAACATGTTGAAGTTGCAATCTTGCATCGCGGTTTTTACCCGGTGATTGATAGTTCAAGTTGTCTATTCTTCAGTAAGGTTTTCCATTCTAAACAGGGGCATGTCGCCCCAATGTCTGTTTTCAAGTACTGTTGGTCTTGTATGACAAGATGCATACCAACAAAGGAATCAGGAAGGGTCTGTATGTGACCAACATGAGGATTTTCGTATAATGAGATCCAATTTCCCCAGTGGAATTATTCTTCTTTCTGTAATGGAGCAAGTGTCCTATCTCTCAGGTGAGGTGTGCAGGAGAATTCCAGTCATAACTCTTCGTTAACTATGGTATAAGATTTTATTGAGATGTCCCCAGTGGAGTTTTATCTCGGGATGTTGTTTCTTCCCCAGAGGATATTTTACCTCCCAACGATGTTATCCCCAGTAAGGTATGAGTAGAATTCTTTTTATTTAAGAATTTATATACTCCCCGTCAGAAGTTATCTGCGTCAAAAAATTTCTATGCCAGAAGTTTCCATTCCCAGCAAAGCCTTCCTCTTTCCAACAGAGGATAAGGAACTTGTTCCACGTGAAGTGGGGAGTTTGATCAGAATTCAAAATTTTCTCTAAATTGTAATTTATGATTGTAGTATTCTTCCCAGGAAGTTACTTCCCCAGTGATATCGATCTTTAGAGGTTGGTGGTTCCAAATCTCGGTTTCCCATTGAAGTACAAATTGCCCTTTCTCTACAGAAGATCAGATGTGCAAGAATAATCATTCGGAAGTTCATTATCTTCTCAGCATCCGATTATTGATGTGTTATCCTAATGCATTACTAAACATGCATCATTACATTGCATCTACCAAAACGCGTAGCATTTCCACGGTATGGAGCGTTACGCTATATAAAAAAAAATTCAAACATGCATGAGTATAAGCCAATTATGTTTACTTGCAGTAACCAGACTGTTATGCATTCAGATTTGAACTATCTCCACAAGAAGCCTAGGGTGATTCTATTTTGTTTCCCCAGCTAAGGCTGTTTGATCTACCACCAGTCGAGTCTTTAGTGTTTCCCATTGTCTTGGTAAGTCGTGATTCTCTCTTACCCTTGCGAGCCTTTGGTTATATAAGTCCTTTCCTCCGGACATATTTTTCCTGATATCCTTGGTTATACGCCCTTTCCTCCGGACGTATATTTCTTAATATCCTTGGTTAGAGTCCTTTCCTCTGGCCTCTTTCCTTATTATGTATCCTCTATCGACCCCGGATATGTATCTTTGATATCTCTTTCGTGCATATCCGATACCAGCCACTGATATGTATTTTTTATACTTGTTTCATATGTCTGCTACCAATCCCAGACATGTGTTCTTGATATCTTTGTAAGAGCTTTCTTCGGTCTGTCTCTTTCTTACGTATCCGATACCGACCACGAATATGTATTTTTGATACTTGTTTCAGGTGTCTGCTACCAACCTCAGACATGTGTTCTTGATATCTTTGTAAGAGCTTGCTTCGGTTTGTCTCTTTCTTACGTGTTTGATACCGACCACGGATATGTATTTTTGATACTTGTTTCATATGTCTGCTACCAATCCCAGACATGTGTTCTTGATATCTTTGTAAGAGCTTTCTTCGGTCTGTCTCTTTCATACGTATCCGATACCGACCACGAATATGTATTTTTGATACTTGTTTCATATGTCTGCTACCAACCTCAGACATGTGTTCTTGATATCTTTGTAAGAGCTTTCTTCGGTCTGTCTCTTTCTTGCGTATCCGATACTGACCATGGATATGCATTTTTTATACTTGTTTCATATGTCTGCTACCAACCCCAGACACGTGTTCTTGATGTCTTTGTAAGAGCTTTCTTTGGTCTGTCTCTTTCGTGCATATTTGATACCGACCACAGATATGTATTTTTGATACTTGTTTCATATGTCTACTACCAATCCCAGACATGTGTTCTTGATATCTTTGTAAGAGCTTTCTTCAGTCTTTCTCTTTCTTACGTATCCGATACCGACCACGTATATGTATTTTTGATACCTGTTTCATATGTCTGCTACCAACCCCAGACATGTGTTCTTGATATCTTTGTGAGAGCTTTCTTCGGTCTGTCTCTTTCTTGTGTATCTGATACCGACCACAGATATGTATTTTTGATACTTGTTTCATATGTCTGCTACCAACCCCAGACATGTGTTCTTGATATCTTTGTAAGAGCTTTCTTTGGTCTGTCTCTTTCTTACGTATCCGATACCGACCACAGGTATGTATCTTTGATACCTTGTTTCATATGTCTACTACCAACCCCAGGCATGTGTTCTTGTATCTTAGATGTCTCTTTCGTACGTATCCGATACCGACCAAGGATATGTATCTTTGATATCTCTTTCTTGTATATCCGATACCGACCACGGATATGTATCTTTGATACCTTGTTTCATATGTTTGCTACCAACCCCAGACATGTGTTCTTGTATCTTTGATGTCTCTTTCGTACGTATCTGATACTGACCACAAATATGTATCTTTGATATCTCTTTCTTACGTATCCGATACCGACCACGGATATGTATTTTTGATACCTGTTTCATATGTCTGCTACCAATCCCAGACATGTGTTCTTGATATCTTTGTAAGAGCTTTCTTCAGTTTTTCGCTTTCGTATCTGCTATCGACCCCGGATATGTATCTCTGATACCTCTTTTTCGTATGTCTGCTACAGACTTCAGGCATATACCTTTTGACATTTTTCTTACAGGTGTTTGTTATTAAATCCCAACAAGTGTTCCTCAATAACCAAGTTATTCTTCTGTGTGTCAAACTCTGGTTAAACATACATCTAACCCTGATAACCTCTTTTACCTAAAAAAAGAAAAAAAAATAGAAAATACAGAAAACCAAAAATATAATGTATACCTGACTGGCTTCAGAGCGCAAATTTTCAGGTTCTTTTAGTATTTAATCTTCTTCCACCCTGAAAGTTCGAAAGGCTGATGCCAATCTCACCTTCAGGTTGAAGGCGATTAAATAGGGGCAGTTGTTGCACCCCAAAATTTGCCCTCCTAATTTTCTTATATTTGGCTTAGGCTTAGCATTGCATTCATATCTTTTCATTAGGTCATTAACATACATTTGCATTCAATAAAGCACTTGAGGTTCAAAGTTCAGTGGTTGTGCGATATTAGGTTTTTGCAACGGTTAAGGTGTTCGTATTCAATAAGGCATGATTCTTCTGATTATCCTTCAAGCAGTGAAATATGGAATTAGGATTTCAACCTATGCTTATTGAGGGTTATGTTCTCTTCAAGTTAAGGGGGTTATTACTCATTAAGATACATTCAAGACAAGAGTCAGAGTGTTTCTCCACCAAGTTTGTGCTTGTCAGCATTTCATCAACCGAGGTTCATTAGGTTTTCTAAGTCATGGCCATCTTGGTCATATTTCTTTCTGTATCCCCATGTTCATTTCCAAGTTGTTCTATGAGGTCACCTAAGGACTACCAAATCAGGCATTCATCATCTCCTTGTGCTCAACGTCATCCTTTGATTAGGGTTTATTTCTCTAAATCATGTACCATTCAAGAGAGGTTTCTCTGGGAAGTTGTGATTATCAGGCAAGGCTATAATCAAGGGATATCGTCCATGAACAATCAGGGTTTCAATGGATATATCTTTGGCAAATAAGAAGAAAAGCGTTGCTTGAATCTCTAGTTATGCGGGAAACAGTTATATTCTAAAGAAAAAGATTCAGTTGGACCTTCTTCACGAATTAGGGTTTGTATGCCTTATAATGCAAAGCTCTTCCTCTGGTCGATTGGCTTACTTACGATATAATCTATTTTCTCCGGATTTCATTTTAATGCTTTGAGATCAAAATCTAACAGCTTTGTGTGAAAGATTAGGATTTATATCCTATCGTACATGGGTTTATCAACATCTTCAATGGAGGTTCATGGGATGATAAGGCATGATATAAGGATGGCATTGTAAATTCATTAAGATCAAGGCAGTTTGGTTCTCTTATTGTTTGTTATACAAGATTGATGGGGATCAACATGTTGGATCCATTCTCTCACGAAGGATAAAGGGTGATGTTAGGGACCATTTTGTTCATGGTCATCAATTGAAGATTGGACTCGCTTCATGGCTCATGATATAAGTCATTTGCTTTAGGGTTCATTCAAGAAGGTGGGATCCTGATCACGGAGTTTGTTTTAGATTATTTCAAATATCATGTGAATTCAAGTTTTGTTCAAGAATTGGATTAAAGTTCATTTACTAAGCATGCAAGGTTAGAAAAAGATTCATGTGGATTTCTTGAGAAACAAGTTATTTGGAATTTAGAGCAAATATCAAGTTCATGCATGAACAAGGGCATTCAATAATTATTCAAGGCTATTTCAAATTTCAAGATCACAAATCCAAATTTCAAGATCAAAAATTCAAATTTCAAGATCACAAATCCAAATTTCAATTCACTCATCCAAATTCAAATTCCAAGTTTAATATTCATTATTCAAGTTTTATCATGTCTAAACATCATACAAAAATACTACATAAACTTTTGTTCTAAGCCTAAAATCTTAATAGCCTAACATCTTCATGTGTTCCATGTTCATGACAAGTAACCATCTTCAAAATTCTCTTTCGCTTAGCCCAAACTACAAACTGTTTTGCCTCGGTATTTCTTCAGGACATATTCAATCTCTCATGCCCTCTTCTTGAATTTTCCTTGAACTCCAATTTTAAGCCTTCTTATAATTATAAGCTCTACCCTGTCAAATTAACCAAACAGTTTTGCATAAGCCTGCAGTAAGAAAATCTATAAAAATAATCCAACTGTACCTATGCCATTATAAACCTGCAGTACAATTAAATGGCGTGGTTCTGTCAAGGAAGCCAAAGATATGGATGTGGACAACTCTATAGTTTTTCCATCTAAAGATAAAGAAGAAAGCAAGAATATTTTCAAAGCTTTACATGCTAGCGATATTGAAGATCAAAATGTTCTAAATCCATCAGTGCTACATCACTCAAATGAATGTACAACCCCTCTCGAGGTAAAGAATATTGTTTCAGCTAGGAAACACATCACTGAGGGTGGAACCAAAGATGAATCTGCTTTTGATAAAATTTGTACCAACACCACTTCTGAAAATGATTCTGTAGAAAAATGTACCCTGATTGCAAATAATTCCAACACAGATCTTGAGAAGTTCCGAACTTTCATAGCTTCAAAGGGGAAGATATTGTCAGAAACTGCCATCAAAGTTCTTATTCGAAAGAGGAATGCACTGACTCTTCAGCAGCAAACGATAGAGGATGCGATTGTTGTGTGCAATATGAAAATTCATAAATGGTTAATTGGTGAAGATGACATGGAATTAAAGATAGAATCCATTATAGATGGTTGTAGTGATACATGTTTAAGAAATCAAGGAGGGACTTGTCAGTATCCTGGGGGTCATCAATGCTCACTTCCATCTGTTAAGAGGAAAAATTGGCAGAGGCTGTGTTCAGTTTGCAAACTCCTTGCCAGGAACTAGATGATATATGTCATATAAACAATTGGATCCTACCAACTTATAAATTATCTCATAACAGAAAACAAAACTAATTTCTAATTGCTAATAGAAACTAACAAACAGGTCACTAATTGATTTTCTAACCAACTAACAGCTTACTAACAACTAACAGAATTTAAAAAAAAAACTATAACTAAAACTCTAACTAACCAATTGTCAGCTCAACTGCCAATTCACAACAAATACTGACTAAATCCATTTCTAATTAATTTTGTATAATAGAAAGGCCCAAAAATCAAAAGCTAACAGCTAACTAACAATTTTCTAACTGCTAACAGAACTCACCCAACTGTTTTAACCATAACAGAAAACTAACTCCCAACCATTTTTCTACAAAAAACAGAGTTTTTCCTAACAGATTCTTAACAAACTAAAGCCAACCTCCTAATTGTGTTCTAACAAACTTATAATGGAAGAGGAGAGGGAGAAGAAACAGATTTTTCTAACAGAATCTGAATAAATTCTCTAACTCTCTAAACAACTTGCAACTAACCTCAATCTCACTATTAATCTCCATAACAAACACTCATCATCCAAGGGCTCAGGTTCATTCTTCATATAACTAATTTCAGATTCCCCTTCAACTATATAATCTCAACTCCCTCCAAAAATCTAGGGGCACAATTCATTTGTTACAGAATACAGAAAAAAGATCTATCAGAAACTCACCAAAAAAGGGGCACTCTCTCTGAAATCTCAGAAATCTCTCTGAATCTTCTTTCTCTCTTCTCTCTTCATCACCATCACGATTCATTCTTCATTCTCCTCAGAAGAATCACCATGCAGAATCACCAAAAATTCCTCTACGATTCTGCATTCTCTCTTCGTCTTCAAGAATCTGCAATCAACAACAACGAGTCCACTGGAAGCCATGATTCAAAGAAGATTTCGGAGCAGAAGAGCCAAGAAAGAGAACTAAAGGAAGAATATGAATACCTGAATATGAGTGTTTGTCGGAGTCTCCAATTATCTCCACCGTCGAGATAGGTGAGGTATCACTCTTCCTCTTTCTTTTTTACAAATTCTTTATACCGGTTTGTAGAGGATGATGAGTAGATCCAAAACCCCATAGAATCAAACTTAGAAGGTCAATCTTGAAGGTTTAATCAAGAGTTGTATGAAGCCTATGGGTTTGGATTTGTTCCATTAGATTCAAGATAAACGAGAGACAGGGAAAAGAGAGACCGAAGGAGCTCTTGTGTAGGAAATTGAGGGACGGGAAGCTGAGACGGAGGGGTGTCGCTGATGCTGCGACAGTTGTTTTGGGAAGATGAGCGCCTCTAGTCGAGGAATGTGGAGAGTCTTTCTCCTTAGCCCTATCAATGCTCCAAACGGCAGCGTATCCATTCCTCTCTTTCAACTCTACTTTTAATTTTTTTTAAATTATTTTATTTTGTAAATCAATTGACAATAAGATGGTTAATAAATATTTGTGAATGTGTTGTTGGACTACCATTTTTAATGGGTTTGGACCGAAGCAGTAAACCCCATAGGAAGATTTTTGAAGCAGTTCTGAGAGCTTAACACAAAAAAAACCGTGGACTCAATTAAATGGGCCTAGCGCCCAGATTTTCGTTCACTATACTACATCCTCCAGAATTCAGCCTGCACCCCTGGCACTTTTTTTTGCTATTTGCAATTTCTTTTAAATGATTTTGATTATAGTTTAGACTTGTTTTAATTTTCTTCACATGATAAAAATAATAGAAATCAGTAAAATTTGTTAGATTTTTCTTATTTTTATTTTTAGGAATTAATTCGTGGTTATCCGATTATTCGAAATTCATTATTCACCTTTTCTTGTTGAGATTTAAATCTTATGCAGGTTTATTATGCAATATGCGGATATGTTCGAAATTTCGATTATGATTTATTTTCACACCGATGATGCTTCAACACTTATTCTGAGCATTGGATTTCTAACTCTTTTCTTTGTTGATGCTAGCAGCTCGCGAGATCATCGGGTTTCTTTGCTTTTTGCTTTTCTCTACGGGCTAGTACTCGTTTGGTATATTTTCTTTCTACTTTCACCCCACATTTATCGCTTCCCATAGATTGTGTGAAGTGTGATAACATTAGGTTTAGAAATATGCTAGTCTCCCCTTGACTTTTCTTTCCACTCTTTGCATCCTTGCATTAAAACAAAAAAAAACTTCTTTTCCTTACAAACATTCAAAAAATACTTTTAAAAATTTTTACTGACGAGAATCGTGCCTTTGTTGAACATGGGAGATGATAAGCGGGTCTATTCTCGATCTTATCGTTTTTCCATTCTAAGCCTTGGCATGGTTCAAGTCTCAAAGACTCATTTCCTGAATAAGTAGAAAAATGGCTAATATCTCTCTCTTGAGGTCAACTAGCTGTTATCTACAAGCAAAAGCATTAAACAAACACAAACTCTTTTTGCCTATGGGCATTTCTTTCAAAACTTTTTCAAAAGAACATGTTAATTCACTTCTGTGCTGACGCGTAAGTCTCCAAAGGTCGAGTTGCGGTAGAAGGCGAAATTAATATTGTTCATTTAAAACACAAACAAATTCAAACTTTCTTGTGCACCCAAGCACCTTTTCTCCAAAACTTTTTCAAAAGAGCATGTTAATTCACTTCTGTGCTGACGCGTAAGTCTCCGAAGGTCGAGTTGCGGCAGATGGTGAAATTAATATTGTTCATTAAAAAAATACGAACCAACAAAAAAAAACCTATGAGCCGAACTACAGCTGCTCTGATTCCTTAAAGGGATACGTAGGCATCGGGGTAGGGCCCGAACGAGCACAACTTTTATTTTCCCTACATTCTTTTCTCCTTTTTGCATGCATTCTCCCTTTAGCAGTAATAAACAATAAGCATAGATTAAACACACCCATAAGATAGACAACAAGAGTGGATACCGTAGAGTACTACGGGCATGTGGGGTGTTAATACCTTCCCCCTGCGTAACAGACTCCCTTACCCTTTTCTCTCGGTCGCAAGACCATGACTTCTCCTTTCTCAGGTTTTATCGATGTTTACCTTTCCCTTCATGTGGGATAAAAGACGTTCGATGGTGACTTTATTGTTTGATGATTTTCAGTCGGGTTGTTTCACACGCAAAGAGGGAATCTTAACCTCGAGTGGGAGCACAACTTCCATTCCATACACAAGGGAGAATGGGGTTGCTCCTGTTAAAGTGCAGACAGATGTTCGATATCCATGCAAAGCAAAAGGGATCATTTCATGCCAATCCTTATAAGTAACAACCATTTTCTGGATAATCTTCTTGATATTCTTATTAGCAGCTTCAACAGCCCCATTCATCTTTGGCCTGTACGGAGATGAGTTGTGATGGACAATCTTGAATTCTTCACACAGTCCTGTCATCATTTTTTTGTTCAGATTCGAGCCATTGTCAGTGATAATTTTGTTCGGCACACCATACTAACATATAAGATTATTCTTAATGAAGCACACAACCACCTGCTTAGTAACATTAGCATATGAAGCAGCCTCCACCCACTTAGTGAAGTAATCATTCGCTACCAAGATAAAACGGTGTCCATTCGAAGCTTTGGGTTCTATCAATCCAATCATGTCAATACCCCACATAGAGAAAGGCCATGGGGAAGAGATCATATTGAAAAGTTTCAGAGGCACATGAACCTTGTCTGCTTAAATCTAGCATTTATGACACCTCTTTGCAAATTTGTAACAATCAGATTCCATTGTCAGCCAATAGTAATCTTCCCTTAGCATCTTTTTAGCCATCGAATGTCCATTGGCATGAGTTCCAAATGAACCTTCATGAACCTTCATGAACCTCTTGCATCATCATGTCTGCTTCGTGTCTATCCACGCATCTGAGAAAGACCATGTCATGATTTCTCTTGTATAACACATTTTCACTGAGGAAGAAACTGCCAGCCAATCTTCTCAATGTCTTTCTATCTTTATTTGATGCACCAATCGGGTATTCCTGAGTTTGGAGAAAATGCTTGATATCATAATACCAAGGTTTCTCATATGCTACCTCTTCTATTGTAAACACATGAGCGGGCCTATCCAGTCGCCGAACCATAATTCGAGGTATATCATTCCAAGTATTCACTTGATACATTGAAGCCAGAGTTTCCAGAGTGTCCTCCATTTGATTTTCATCTCTAGGAATGTGATGGAATTCAACTTTATTAAAGAAGGGTAACAACCTTCTAGCATAATCTTTGTAAGGGATTAAGCCGGGGTGACGAGTATCCCATTCTCCTTTAATCTAGTTTATTACCAAATCTAAATCACCATACACATATAGAATTTTAATTCTGAGATCAATAGCTTCCTCGAGACCCATGATGCAAGCCTCATATTCTGCCATATTATTAGTACAATCAAATGTCAACCTTGCAGTAAAAGGAATGTGCGACCCATGTGGAGTGACAATCACAACACCAATTCCTTTACCATAAGCATTCACAGCTCCATCATATATCATACTCCAACGAGATTCAGGATCAGGACCTTCCTCAGGAAATGGTTCATCACAATCTTTCACTTTCAGAAACATCACATCCTCATTGGGAAATTCATACTTTACAGACTGATGATCCTCCACTGGTTGGTAAGCAAGATAATCTGCCAACACGCTGCTTTTAATAGCTTTTTGAGTGCGGTATTCTATATCATATTCAGATAACAGCATCTTCCAGAGGGCAATTCTCCCAGTAAGAGCAGGCTTTTCAAAAATGTACTTGATTGGATCCATTTTGGAGATCAACCAAGTGGTGTGATTCAACATATATTGCCGCAAACATTTTGCCGCCCAGGCCAGAGCACAACATGTCTTTTCCAGCATTGAATACCGCGACTCATAATCAGTAAACTTTTTACTGAGATGATAAATGGCATACTCTTTCTTCCCTATTTCATCTTGTTGTCCCAGAATACAACCCATGGATTTATCTAACACTGTCAGATACATAATCAACGGTCTTCCT